TGGTGTAGTGTACTCAGGTGAATATGATATTTGTGGTGTTACTCTGAGTGCATATCCACACCGGGCGAGCTTGAAAAATATGCCCGGCCACGGTGGGAGTCGAACCTACGACCTTTGGAATACTCGCCCGGTGTGGATATGCACTCAGAGTAACACCACAAATATCATATTCACCTGAGTACACTAGTACACCAACACAGAAAAAATTCATATTACTAGAATACATTGGTATTGAAGGAACTAGATTCTGTTCCGAAATATCACTTACTCGAACCGTCCTGACCGCGTAGCTCAGTTGGAAGAGCATTGGGCTAGAATTCCAAAGATCGTAGGTTCGAATCCCACCGTGGCCGGGCATATTTTTCAAGCTCGCCCGGTGTGGATATGCACTCAGAGTAACACCACAAATATCATACTCACCTGAGTACACTACACCAACACAGAAAAAATTCAATTTCCTACCGTTGTTTGTGGTGCTACGTGTACGTCTCACTGTAACGTAAATTGCAGGGCAGACGCAAGACGGTAGAGATACCAAACCATGTATCACCTTGAACAGGAAGAGCAGATCGAGCAGTTCAAGCCAGTAGGAAACTGGTAGTATTCGAAGTGACAATAGTCTTTCTTTATATGGTATCTCTGAGGTAATTTAAATTTAAAATGAATTTAGACGCCCGTCGCTGAACCTTTTCCATTTCTTGTATGAGCTCAACTTTTTGCGGAGACCATAGTTGGCTTGCGTACGAGAAATTGGATCGAACAATTGTGAGCTAAAGCAGCCGCCTAGTTTGAGGATTTAGTAATTCTAAAGTACACCGTCTAAGCAGACCTAACATTTTATTGGCTTTTTTGCAAATTTTATACGTATGATCACTCCAGTCAAGGTTGGACGTGACTAAAACTCCAAGGTCATTAACTTTGCTGACCAAAGGTAAGGGCGTATCATTCAGACCAAAGGTAATGGCGTATCATTACAGTAAACTTTTTTTTTATATTGTACAATATGCCAAGTTTAATTAGGAATGAATAACATTTAGGATGAGCAAACTGAATTTAGTTTTTCATCTCCAACTAAATGTAGCCTTGTTGATGCCAAATGTTATTCTTTGCTGATACCAAATAATTTCCTTGTGCGCTGCCTACACATTGTTACAAGTGTCACACAAGGGGGGGGGGGGGGG